TTTCTCTTTCTCTTTCTCTCTTTCTCTCTGTCTTTCTTCTTTCTTTTTCTCTCTTTCTCTCTGTCTTTCTCTCTCTCTCTCTCTCTTTCTTTCCCTTCCTTCCTTCCTTCCTTCCTTCCTTCCTTCCTTCCTTCCTTCCTTCCTTCCTCCCTCCCTCCCTCCCTCCCTCCCTCTTCCCTCTTTTCTCCTTTCTTTTCTTTAATTACTCATGGTATTGCTTGTGAAAGAAACATGATTTGCACCACTAATTTTCCATTATTTAGAGAACTGGAACTGGGAAGCTCTGAGCAAAGTATATCTGGGAAATTGCTCCCTGGAGTTTCTAATCTCATTTTCAACTTGGTTTATAGTACTTAGTTCAAGATATGCCTAGGTCTGAACAGCAGCTGAGGCTGCATTTCAAGAGAGCGTGGTGAACTGTCAAAACTTGTCTGAAGCAATCCTTCTATTAACCTTTACTAAAACTAAAGTTGACAGGCAGGAATAGATCAAAAGGTGAATGCAGAGATGTCAACAAGAGATGTTTTAAAACCTTCTTATGAAACCTCAAAGTTACATATTTACATTAAGTGATCAAACAACGTAAGTATTACTGTTGCTCTTTCTGACTATGGCCACACCCAGCATGTCCCCAGTATCTTCTAGATATAGGCGGATATAAACAGAAAATCCAGACTGTTCTCTGAAGATATAATCAACGTTTTAACATAAATCAGTTTACTCGCTGAAAACACTGCCTCTTCCCACCCCACTTTCTTCCTGGTTTATGATTAGTTTCTTTTAACATTTCAGTGCTCTTTCTTTCTTGCTGATGCCCTTTTTTTCCCTTCCTCGTCTGCCTTTGTCCTTGCACGTCTAAGGAACTGTGACTTGGTTTTAGCAGATTCATCTGGTCCTTTCATTTCTCTTTCAAAACAAAAACCTATATGCAAATCAAGGGATTACAGAGAAAATATGAACAAACCATAGGTTTCCAACATAAGGAGATTTATGATTTAGTGTTTGTGCATGACAGGCATTAAGTAAACCAGGGCTTGGTTAAGGGCTTTCCAACCATGTATACATCTGTTTGAGAAGGCAACACTTCCTTTCAATTTGCAGAAGAAAGTCAACAGGAAATTCTCCTTTGCATTTTCCTATTTTGTCCTAAACCCAGAATGTCTCCTATTCACTCCAGAACACAGGAAAAATATTTGCTGCATATATATCTTTAAATTCATTTTGAAGATCCCAAAGTTCTAGGTGGCAACCATTTAATTTTCTTAGTATTTGCTTTTGTGATATTATTTTTTAAAACATTAAAAGGAAAAAAAATCCCAGGGTTTTTACAAGGTTACATCAACTGCAGTTTTTCAGTGTGGGCCATTTTTCATTACTGTAGGTTCAACCATGTTTTCTTCCACCTGCCACAAACTGGTGCACATAGGTAGGTTTTTGATATTTGGTAGAAAACAGAAGCATTCTGAACAATACAAACCATTAGAAACAATAAGCAATTCGGGGGGGGGGAATGCATATTTGTTTTTGAATTATCTAATTTGCATCTCAGAAATGTTAGAAACTGTTGTACCTTTGGTGACTTCCACTATACATTGGGCTTTCCACATGCTTTTTCTCTTTTTAACATACCTGAGACGCAATCTCACATCATTTCAGAAATGTGATATTAGTGTTGTTTTTACTTTTGCCCCATTAGCCACCCTATTCCTTTTTGGGTAGTTTTATTTACCATAGAAGAAGCCTTACCTGACACATTTAGAGTGGAGGGAGAGATGTCTGGATATCCAAGTCTGGAATCACCCATCCACCAGACAATTGTGACTGGTTCAGGTGGACCTACTGCAGCACATGCCATATGGAAAGGTGTATCAGGGATGACCGACAGATCTTCTGGCTCAACAGTGAAGTAGGGAACACCTTGAAGAATTAAGTGGGAGAGTTTTGGATTTTTATGAATTGAAACAGATGCATTTCATTCTTTCTCAGCAGTTTATATTTAGCAAAACACTAACAGCTCAAGCTCTCACAGAATATACTTTTATACTTATGGCCTTTTTTGCCATTTTTCTTCAGAAAAAAAGAGTCTACCATATTTATAAAATTCAATGTGTCCTTGTATATTTTGTTACTAAAGGGGTAAGCTGATCATTGAATGGGAGAAAAAGAGGAAAAATTATTTTGATAGAGTGCCAGGTAATTTTTGAAACTATCCTAGCCTTTCTCAAAAATCTGGACTTGACCCATTAACTGCTTGGAAGGAAAATGGAGCAGTAGAGTGGATTTACTGTCCAATCCTTCTCTCAAATAGTTAAAAGAGAAATTTCAGCCCTTTTCACCGAAAGGGAACCACATGAATAAAGTCTGCTTGTGAAGGATTAGTCTTTTCTCTTTTATTGTACAAACTGCACAATGATCATTATTCAGGGAAAATGTTTCATTATGAGCCCAGATATACATCTGAGAAATAATTAAAAGATACCAACATAATTAGAAACATGCATATTAAAAGCACTCAAACAACAAGTGTTGGTTTTAGAAACTGTCAGAAATTATATTCTTATTTTGTATTCGGACTCTGAATACCTCTCTTTAGCTACATATAAAAAATGCATTCAGAGATATAGCCGGACCTTATTCTAAACTAATGAAAAAATAAAGAAATCTACAGTGAAGGAAAGCAAATAAATGTTTGCCCTACACTGCTTTTCATGATGTCTCTATGCTATATGCTAGAGTAGCTAATTAACCCTAAGTGGCTCTTGATAACTGAAGGGGAGAAATGGTACCAATGTTGATATATTTAAATAAAACTCCATTTATTGCTAATGTCTGGCAGAATATTTAAAAAATGTGCTTTAATGACAAATGTGAATATTTCCCATTTCCCCCCAATCCAAACATTTCATACTCACCAAATACTTGAAAATGTATTTGACATATACATTTCAAAGTTTAATTGGGTTTTTCAAAATAGCTTTGAGAAAAATGTAGTTTTCACTAGAAAAACCATCGTTTCTCTTGCTGTGATGCTCCCTATTTTCAGATCAATCTTAGATATGAGTGGTTGCCCCCAGCATTTCTTGTCCTGTCTTCTATATACTCTTTAAGTTTATTTTCACATAGGTTTTTATCCATAATTGACTAGTGCTCCCAGAGATTATGCAAGTAACTTATCAACATATACTTGCTTGTTGTTCTGAATATGTTTGCATTTATTTTAAATTCCAATCACTTATTTGCATTTGAAGATAATAACTTTGGACAAAACCCCCGGAGTTTAGCAATTTTTGTGGGAAGAATGCATAATCTAAACTTCTTGAAATCATTGATACTTACCCGTGCTTAACTCTGATAGGATTATATCACAAGGTGATATTTACACAATGGCATCACAATCAGATGAAGAAAAATATGCCCCAACAGAGTCCTAACTATGCAGGAATGCTCATTCTTACTTTTAAGTCATTTGACCTCTGATTAGCTGCCTGATCTTAAACAAATATCCCAATCCTTTAAACATTTTCTGAGTGATATCTAGAAAACAAGTTGACACGACTTTTCTCAACTATATAGAACTTAACAGTTTAATTGCTTGCACTATCTTGTGAACATAATTTTAAACCTGAGATTAATTTTCTTGACTGATCTCAATGTACCACTCAATGTTCACTGAACAATGTTAGTTAAATCTTAAATTGAGCAAGATACAGAAGGGTATGGCAAAGTCCACATCTCCTGGATAAACAGATGGACAACACCACCTTCCTCAAAACTGATTAGAACAGGAACTGCTGCATGGCCAATGGAAAAGGCCCTATCATCACATACTATGAGGTGGTATGAATATCTGGGCTTAAATAAGCAAATCTAAATAATAGGTTGGGTAAGAAGAATGTGGATGCATCCAGAGAAAAAGTCACACCCAAAAAGTTTATTTCCTCTGACCCCTACCCACTTCTCTCCTTTATCTAGTTTTTAAGCCACTAAGTTCACTTTTAATTTAATACCTGAAAATCAGTGGCCGCTGAAGTGGATGCACTAGTTATGCTCTAAATGAACATATTTGATCCATATGACCCCAGAAAATTCAGTTTGTGTTTCCCAGCAGAAAATATACCCTGGGCCGATGCACTTTAAAGTTCTTTATCATGTTATAAGCACTTGAAATAATAACATTTAAAAATAATAATAAAAATAATGTCAATAAGTTAGTTTTTTCATTCTAATGACATAATACATAATACAGATTGACCATGCTCCGGCTATACGGCCCAACTCAAGCTCTTTAATATTTTGGGTTTAATCATCCAATTTTCTTTATACCTGTGGATGCAAAGGCTGTGAACAGCTCCTGAATAAACTTTCTAGCCATCTAACAGGTCTGATCTTTGTGCCTTTTTAATTATGAGAGGACTAACACATAGTGGGGAAGTGTTTGAGTTATGAGTCATGATCTCCCTGATTTCTCCTCTCCTCAACAAGAAATTCACCAAGTGCCAATTCTAAGATCTGGTGCAAATGTATCACACATTATCTGAAGCTTGGAAAAACTAACACAAGCTTGCTTCACACAATATGCTAAACCAGGATATGGGTTGCTTTGTTGTAGCTTAGCACAAAGGCAGGCTACTTTCTTACTTTTGAAGACTATATTTCATTTTTTACCCTTGAACACACCACTTACTTAGTATGTTATGGGAAGCCATTTATTTGGTTGGTATATCATGGTTTATGGCTTAGTGTTTGGTATCACATCAGCAATTCGTTTATTCAATAAACAATGGTTAAACAAATTAAGATTTAGCTTAGGGTATGGACTGTATTGGAAAAAATGGGAAAAACAGATGTCACAGATTCATATGGTGTTTAAATGAAATGACATGACATGAAATGCAGTTGTAAAAGGCTGCAGGTATGAACACTGGGACTGCTCCATGGGTTTCCTTTAGCTGTTCTTCCATTCTAATCCTCTTTCCCACTTCCACTGATATTCTCAGAGGAAAAAGGCAGCCAGAGAAGTTGTATCAGCCCTTCAAGGTAGCCCGGACAAGAAACACCAACCACGAGTACTAACACTACCTCTATTGTAAGGTTATAGTAACAGAATCTTGTAAATCTCAAAGTACATCTCTCCCAGCTTGCCTTTATAGTCTAAGAAACTAGGGAGGATCCCTTCTGAGATGTTTGCCATGTCATTCCTTCTGAGGGTTCAGCTGCCTCTTATCCAATTGTTGCCTAGTCTGCGCTGCCGCCTCCTCCTCCTCCTCCTCCTCCTCCTCCTCCTGTCTTTCAAGGATACTTTCACAGACTATTACAAGTTGTCAGCATCCCTTCTCTCACTATGCCCATTGTCCTCAGTGTGCACAGGTACACCAGTATTCCACCATCACTTCTACGGTGTCCACCAGACTACATGCCTCACTGATGTTTATTTTTAGATTACTTTGAAATAAATATATGAAATGAGAAGCTTGCATGCGGTAAAGAAAAGTATCAGACTCAAGCATCCTTCATATTTCCAACTATATCTCCCAGCCCCTATAGAAAAATTTGTGCTTTGTTTAGAAATGGGGCTACCTGGCCAGAAAAACAATGACCGAGATAAGCTAGGATGGCTGAGAACATCCTGGAGAGTTGGAAGAATGCCACAAAACACCCACCATGTGGCTATTCTCATTTTGAGAGAATTTCCCCAATCTGCTACATACATTCTACGTGGTCGAAAGCTAGGGAACCCCTGCACTATTCTAGCCTCTTCTCCTGGGGCTGTTTTTCATTTTTAGAAGTTGGAATACTGTATTAGGACACATATCTGCCATGAGGCAGCTTAATAATACTCTTTCAGATATTAACTCACAAGCTTGACATAAGACAGAATATTGGGTAATAATTTTAAATGACAACTTATTTTGTTTTAGGTCTTAAATAAGCACCTGCTCAAAATGCCAAATCAAATAGCTCTTTGGCTCTGTTGGCTTTAAATTCAATTTTTTTTTCCAGTAAAGTAAAAACAATACTGTTTGACCTTTAGATTTCAGGTTATGTCAATCGAAGCATTTAGCTGTACAATTTCCTGAAAAAGCTGTATATGTAAAATATCTATATACACAGGAAGCTAAAAACTATTGAAGGTTCTTGATGTATGAAATCCGCTGCACCCCTAATGTGTGTGTATGTGTGTGGGTCTTCCATAAACAGGAACAGGACCAGACTTTATGTATGAAAGCAGGATTCTATAAGGGTGGAAATGTTTAAAAAAGATTAGCAGGTGAACAGAGAGCGATCTTATTAATGAACAATATTCTGCAATATCAACCACTAATAGCAGGAAAATGAATATTTTCTCTACGGGATAGCCTGGAAATTTAGAGGTAATTATTGTAATCCAAACTTAAAAAAAAAAAAAAAAAGCATATCTCACTTCAGTGAGAATGAGTGTGACCAAGTCACTCACGGTCCTTGCTCAGTTTGCTTTCCAGATGTTACCTGTGTATGGGCAACTACAAGGCTCTGCTTCTTTCTTATTATTCTTCAAACCCAGATAACATTTTAAATAGAAGACAACGTTCTGCAAAGTTACAGGATCATCCTAGTCCTAATGGTGGGGTCCAGAGCAGAGTGATGGAGATTAAAATAGGCAATTACTCAGCAACACAGTTGTAGCCTCCCAGCTGTGTATGTACATGCAACACTGATGCATGTATAAAAGGGGTGGGGATTGGATTACGCTGCCATGACTGCCAGCTTGCCTGTTTTGACTTTTCTGCAGATGCTGCTGGTCAGAGTAGTGCCTACGGGTATCTTTATGAATACAGGTTCTTCCTTTGATAGACAGCAGACGATTTACTTCATCTAACTCAGTGTTTTATAACCTCAAGCAACTTTAAGCTGTATGGACTTCAACTCCCAGAATTCCCCAGGGGGCATGCCAGGAATCTAAAATCCACACAGCTTAAAGTTTCTGAGGGTGAGAAACACTGATCTAACTTATAATTTTTCAAAGATACTTGCTTTTATTTTTTTTTAACTATTTTCTGTTGGGGGGGCATTTTTTTTAGCTTCTCTGCTTTATCTTTTGGTAGACTGATGTTTTATGAAAGGTTGTGCTTCCTCAGTTGCCATTTTGTGAAAGCATCCACAGCCCTCTCATAGTTGGAGCCCTATCTTCATTTACCTACAGTACATGAGGGTACATTCTGACATAGAGAGTTAACTTCCAATAATGTTATTGGTAAGGGACAAATTTGTTTTGAGATAGCTGTAATAAAATAAACAAGTGAGACATATCTTAGCATTTTTAATAATACCTGGTATAAATCAAGTATTCAGCACGGACTGGATCAGCCAATAGTTTCCCCTCAATTGGACATATTGCCCAAAGTGCTGGAGTACTCAGGTTCTCTTTTTCTACCTAATATAACCTTCCCACTTTTGACTATCCCTGGCAATCCACACTTCCACAAAGCCTAATCCACATAACCAGAATCACAAGATCAATCTCCTTAAAAAAATCTGACTATTGGTGTGGTGAAAAACTTATAACCAACCACTCTCTAAGAGAAGTTTCTTTTAATGTACAAAGGGCTTCTTAACATACGTTTGTCCTCACAACAATCTTACAATATGAGTCTCTGTTATTCCAATTTTTAGAGGAAAAAACTAATGTGGAAGTTTGTTTATTTTGCCACATGCTGAATTCATGACTCAACAGTCAGATAAAAAAGGGCTGAGTCCAGGGCAGAAACATAACCTGAGAAAACATCTCAGACAAGACCCTCCCTACTTCTCACAAAGATAAAGGGAGGGAGGGGATAAGCTCATTCATACTTGCAAGATTCTGTACTGTATCTTTACAATAAAAGAATATTGGCCTACATGACTTTGGTTTCCTAGTCTGGTCCACCTTTAAGGGCTGACATCATTAGTCAGAATGGCTCCTGCAGTTATTTCTTCTTTCCCTTCTGACACTAAAGACAACGGTTCCCTTCTGACACCAGGAAAGGAGAAGGAAGACAGAGAATATGCAAGAGTAAGAGAGGCTGTTTGGAGGAGGAGCAGTCTAATGTATGACTGTGTATGCCTGGCTGTTTCAACTTCACAACGATGTGCTTAGTTGGGATCAGAGTGCGTGGGTGTGTCTTTGGTATGTCCTGAAGATATTCAAGCACACAATTTTTCTGATTACATTTTCTGCTATCAGTTTCTCCAGCGACCTCCCTTCTCTTAAAATGACACCTAACCTCTCCTCCCACCCACCCCCTTTTTTTTTTTACTCCAAAAGAAAGTAAGGAAAAGCAGAGGCTTCCTTGTTCCCAGTGTAGCTGACACAGATCATCCATCCCTCTCGTATTGTTTCTAAGTGCTAACTGCCATTGAAGATCTCATTACTTCTTCCAGAAGAAGAAGAAAGACAGGAAAAAACAGTATTGCAAATATTTTTGTGCCAAGAAAATAAAAATATCTAAAGAGCATGGTACTCTGAGCCCATGCTGGGACACTGATTCAGCCATGAGTCAGAACAGAAAGCACCGCTTGCTGCATTAGAATGTAACCCTGCCGCAGAATCCTTTGCAGTTATTATACAGAGCTGACACTGATAGCTTTGTCAGATCCGCTGCCATAATTATAGCCCACATAGGTCCTCCCAAGGTAAGCTAAAGGAAGCCACCCATCCTTTATGAATCATGTAACTTTGGACTTCTCAGTTGCACTGTTACCAGGCCACAGGCTCTTTAATGTGTCCTCTATCCAGTCTGCATAAACTAGTAAGTACCCATCTAAACAAAAGTAATGAATGAAATCCTATATGATCCTCCAACACAGTTTCACTAGAGTTAAAACCATGGGGGCATTAATAAGCAGCTAAGATCCTATTAAGTTCACCAAATATCAAACTATAGATTATTTAAAAATTCAAGCAGTGACATCAGGAGGAAAAAACAAAACAAAACTACAGCCATCAAAATTTAATTTTCTGTAAGATACCCATGAGAGATATTTAGTCAGAGCCTCCAGTAGATAGTCTCCCTCCTGTGTTACCAGCTCTCTGGTTCCTGAGCCAGCCAAGTAGACTACAGCATTTACTTTATAAGAACTCTCTTTCCAAACAGGTTTTCCCTTAGTTTTAGCTTTGTCTGACTTCATCCAGTATTAATCCTGCAGCCCCGTTTTCCACTAAGCCTTATCCTCTGGCTCTTTGATTACAAACCACCAAATCTAATACTGGACTCCAGCTTCTGCATGATCACACCTATTGTCCTTTTATTTATTTAGCCTGATCCCATCTCTAGCCTATCTTTAACCATGTCTCCTGCTTCTCTTTAATCTGATTAGCATTTCTCTGTAATTGACTAGGATCCTTTGGAATTTCCTAACAAAGCTAAGCTCTAGATTTGAAATCAATGACACTGGCAATAATATATGATTTCCCTACTCCCCAGAATATTTTCATATTTTGAAAATGTATCTAAGAAAGAAAAATAGAAAAAGACACCAATCTCTGCTCACTCAGAAGCATCAGATCAGTATCCTAAAGATTCTCTGGACCTTTCTCCACAACTTACATGATCACCAACATACTCATTATTCCATTGTGAAAACATATGCTGACAGCCATATTCTAGCAATTTCTTATGCAGGTTTTCAAATACAAGTCTGGAAACATAACACTGGACATGCTCCACATTCTGTAGAACAAAAGACTGTGCAGAAATTATGTAATAGCCTTCTATACCTGCTACCCACCAACATTTGGACCTTTACTGGCTTATAAGAGTATCTTTGTTTTGGCCATAGTTGCACAGGCTCTGGAAATGGGCCAACATCAATCAAGGCAACCTCCTCTCACAGCTTCCACATACGGTTATCACAACTGCTCCAGATAGAAGTCAGCAACATGGCCCCTTACCTTCTACAATAAGCCATACTTGCTGTGATTCCTCTTTCTTCCCATTGGTCTCCACTTGGCACCAGTATTTTCCAGAATCTGCCCGATCTACAGACTTCAAGCTAAAGAGTTGAAAGGGAATATCAAGTAGTGAATAACACTGTACATGAACAAAGATTTGTACGTATACAATACCTCTCAATTTTTCTGTTTTTCCAGAAATTTTTAATTTGTTGCAAGTTGAATTTATGTATTCTTTTTAGTGTTACTTGTTCTTGTTTTCTGCACCCTGAAAATTTTAAAAAGGAAGAAGGGGAATTGCATCAACTAAACTATTTTTTTTGTGTGTGCTTTCAAGTCAATTTTTGACTTCTGGCAACTGCCTGGACTAGGCCTTGTAGTTTTCTTGGCAAGATTTCAGAAGTGGTTTGCCATTGCCTGCTTCCTAGGGCTGAGAGAAAATGACCGGCCCAATGTCACCCAGTTGCCTTTGTGCCTAAGATAGGGCTAGAACTCACAGTCTCCCAGTTTCTAACCACTATACCAAACTGACTCTCAAAATAAAACCTAGCCAATTACTATCTCTTCTGACTAGCAGATCCTACATGGAAGACATTCCCAGCTTAGCCATCTAGACTAAAATTGCCAAGGGTTAAACTTGGGACCATTTTGCAAACAAGTCATCTTCATTGCCATTGAACTGATCCTGTTTCACCTGAAAATGTTTCTGTGAACAGATCAGGAAGTAGAGGGAGATTTTCAGAGAAGGGCGTTAACTAGGCAACCACAATGTATGCAGCAGTAATAGAACTATGTTCTAGAACAGCCTTCCCCAACATAGCAGCCTCCAAGTGTTAGCCATGCTGGCCAGAAATTATGGGATCCCAATACATCTGAAGGACATCTGCTTGGGGAAGTTTTCTCTAGAAACAAAAATACTGCAGGGAATGAAGTGGAAGGAAATTTTTCTCAAAAGGGTTTAGGAAAAATTGGCACCCACATGGGAGAGATAAATAATAATCTAGGATTACTACACGCATGAATTGACTGTGCCATTCAATTCCTGTCTGAAGATCGTGAGAGAGTTAAATCACTCACTGGTTCCAGGAAGTCTGATGCTGACAAGCTATCCAACCCTGAACCTGAAGTCTGGAAATATGCGGAGAGAGCAAATATGTTTGTTTTACAATAATAAAGAAGACAGAGCAAATGTTCCTTCATAAAAGAGATTACTCAAGATTTGGATTTGTTCTTTTTTGACCTTACTCAGCATAGTTCAAATTTAATAAGCTTCCTAACAAACTAATCCTTTTCTTAGCAGGAAGAAAGGGAAACATTATAATGCCTTTGGGAGTATAACTCATTTCACTGAGACATGGTACAGTTATGGGTGTCCACAAGAGAGGCAAGGCAGTCAATGATGAAGCATGCATGATGATGTCAACACACAAATACTGTGACTTATACACTTGCATCAGATGTCAGGTAAATAATAATGGCATTTATGTAATGCTGCCACAGGCACCACTTCAATTTGTTATAGATGCTACTAGGAGCAACATCTTAAAAACCTGATCCAAGGGAGATATTCTATCCCCAGTTATTCATTTATATTACTTGTTAGACCAATATCCCATCTTTTCTCCAGGAGCTCAAGTTGATTTTCATTGGGATCTGCCTTCATTTTATCTGCACAACAACTCTGTAACGTAGACTGAGCCGAGAGAAAGTGAGTAGTCAAAAAATCACCCAGAATTTCCATGGTTGAGGATAGATGGTTGGATCTGAATCTCCCCAGCCCTAGTCCCATGTTGTAACCACCACACAGCGCTAGCTCTTAAAATTATCAAAGTGTCAGACAGTGGCAGTGTTCAACTTGGTGATAACTAAATCCATATTCTGGGCATAAAGACAGGAACTCTACCTTCATAATTAGCTTTCTCTGATTTTCCTATGAATTTGCTGTCTACTCTGATCTGGCCCCTCCACCAAAATTGATTTCTCCTCCCATATTATTCAGCCAGCATAACCTGAAGTCTCCAATGGAGCCTTTATTTAGGATTGCCGGAGGTACAATTTTAACACTACTTGCTGTAGAACACTGAGATATTAATTTCCTGTAAACACTGAGATATTAATTTCCTTACAGAAGCACAATATGATTTCAAGGGCTCTGCTGAGAATTGACACATCTCACAAAACTATTTATTCAGAAGCCCTCAAAGGGGGATATTTGCGGATAGCTTCTTCTCAAGTATATCTGGCAACTGCACCAGGAAAACGGTTCAATTTTTTCATACACATACACAGAAGCACACTAAGCATCTTTTCTATGCCTTATATTATATTAACTGACTGAAGTATTGCACGCTTGGCTTAAAGTAAATGATGGAGTAAATACACTGGAGCATCTCTTGTGGGAGATGACTAAGGCTTGGTTTGTATGACACATCTGTTTCTCCCAAAGAACCCAGATTTGATCTGGGAAGCACAGACTGAACTAAACTCTCTCTTTTCAGTCAAAGTCAAGGAGAAAAGAACGTGAAGGGAAAAAAACGTCAAGGAAATGTTTAATTATATCTCAGAAACTAACTATCCAGTTTTGTTGCAGAGCATACAGGCACAAATATATGAAAAAGGAATATAAAGCTTCCTTTATCCTTGAAAGCTTTCAGTAACAGTGCTGCAAACAAAAGCCAAGAGAGGGGGAAGCGTTCTCTGTGTCAAATGACAGCTACAGACTCAGCAGAAAACTGCAGGGGCTAATATAATGTAGGCTGCTAGTTCTTCTTATCTCCATTTTTAGAGAATCACAGGGGAAATGAAGGATTTCTCTGGATTCCCTTGGTTATTCAAGCTAAGAAGTTGGGATTCGACCATGCAATGTCAGTTTGCAATCCTGCATTGGAGTCTTTTGCCGTCTCTGTAGCTTATAAAAATGACCCCTTTTTCATGTATGGATTCAGCATATAGAAAACAAGATCCCTGGTTAAAATCCCACCATCAGATACATGCAGAAAGTAGCAGTGCCCAGCCAACAGGGTCTGGAGTTGGAAGTTAAGCAGGGCTAGGCCTGGTTAGAACTCGGATGGGAGACTGCCAGAAAGACTGCTGGGTTTAGTCAAACTGGGAAGTTAAAAAACATCCCCAGAGGAAAGCAATGCAAAACTATGTCTCTACTGCCGCCAAGAAAACTGCACGGGTAGATCCACCTTTCCTTTTATTTTCAGTTATTTGCAAAACATATTCCGCTTCCAGTGACTGCAATAGGTTATCCACAGGCACAAATGTGCTACCAGGCAAGTTCCTTGGCACCCACCAAATCCTCTACCTCATCTAAACCTTTTGGTTTGCTTTTTCTCCCTCTCTTAAATTCCTGGGCCTGCAAGTGCCATCAAGGAATTCTAAAAAATGGAAAGGATGTGAGGTTGCAACACAGAGCCCTGATTCAAAGTGTGTCCACCAGCTCAGAGAAAAGAAAAAGATTGGATGGTTGAGAGGGATGGGAGAATGCAGTTTTACCAGTTGGACTTATTTCAAATGGGTCTTTAAGACCAGGTTGCAAAAATTGTTTTTCTTACATCTCAAAGATGAATAAAATCTCCAAAAGCCCCCTTTTTGTGGCTCCAAGGGCATCTGCAGGGTGTGTGTGTGGCGGGGGGGAGGGTACAAAAGTCACAATGGCAGTAGCAATCAAAGCTACTGGTGGGTTGTAGCCACCATCTTGATTTTTCTGATGCCTCCCCTTCCCATGGATGCCCCAGTGTGTCCCTGGAACCCCTCCACCATAATTCTGAAAAACAATAACACCATTTACCACTATTTTGAGACAGGCACAAATCCCCTAAAATAAGCTTAACAAACCAACCAAAAACAAAAAAGCTTTCCTCTCCCACAACAAAGGAAAAAATTGAAAATCCATCCATTTAGCATTCTCACCCCACTTAGAATAGTCTTTGTCCCTCCAAAATGCTTCAGCAAATAATTCTTACTCAGGCTCAGTCAATATGGGGAGCAATAATACTGAACTGGTACAGTATGTTTAGGGTTTGTTGTAAGGATTGCTACTAGTAATGAATGTATAGTGCCTTAAGCACTTTCAATATTATAAAAATGTTACAAATTATTAGCAACAAAAATGGGGAAGAACTAGAAAGTATCAGAAGTTTAGATCAGTGTTTCTCAACCTCAGCAACTTTAAGAAGTGTGGACTTCAACTCCCAGAATTCCACACTGGCTGAGGGATTCTGGGAGTTGAAGTCCACACATCTTAAAGTTGCCAAGGTAGAGAAACACTGGTTTAGATTCTTGAGATATTAATTAAATAAAGATATAATTCCAGAAAACAAATTGCCCAGTTGGATAATTTGCCCGGTGCCTTTGGATCAACCTAAACTATTTCACAGAAAAAATAAGGGAGGAGGAGAGAATCACAAATGACCCCCCCCCCAAGTTCCACAGAAGAAAGGCAAAATAAACTAACCTTTAATATTAGCATTAATCATATATTTATCTAGCATATCTTGTTCTATGTGTCATTCCTACCTGAGGAAACCTATCCAGTGTTCTTCATTTACTGGAATGTACACTTGGTCTATACCCTGCACCACAGCTCCATCCTTGATCCACAGCATCTCTGGTTCTTCCATTCCCTCCAGGCTGCAGTTCAACTTCACTGGCTGCCCCTGGGACACCGTCAGTTTGATTGGCATTTCAATACCTTTTGCTTCTGGAAGAAAGCAACCTCCCACCCATCCTTGCCCACAGGTAGGGAGCAAGGAGGTTGGGAGTACAGCAGATCAATCAAGGTTACTGATCTGTAGGGTGATACAGTCAAAGAACAAAATACACAGCCACCTCAATGCACCTCATCAGAGCTTTATTATATACGTTGGGATAATTATAGGATAAGAACACCAAAGTTCCAGTTAGGAAATAGCAGAGGACAATAAAGCCATGCAGGGCTTCTTCAACAATGTGCCAATCTGGAAATCAGCAGGGTGAAGCCCACAGAGTAGCAATCTTTTAGTGGTACATACAGATGGATTTGGTATCCTTGCAACACTGCACAGTTAATGCTTTTGAAAGCGTTATTCTCAGAACAACAGTACAATTCCACCCAAATTCCCTCTGGATACTTAATGACTCCCAGGTAATATTCATTACTTTAAAGAAAGCACAGCTGTGATCCATTCCTATGGAAAAAAAATCATTCACGTAGGGGGTCATTCAGTTCACAGCTTCTCTTAATTGCAAAAGCTTCTAACAGTGTGAAAACTCTATGGATGGAAAAGCATGATTGAAAGCTTAGCCGTGAAAGGAAACCAACCATTTTAAGAACGTGTTTCTCTCTCTCCTTTTCTTTTCCCCTCACTCCCATGTGTGGTGCAGAATTAGTTCAACCAGTAGCCAGGCAACCCCCAAACTCAGGATGCAATGCCAAATGCTGATCTCATCCCTCATTTGGATAGGTGTCACCAATTCATTCGCAGATGGTGACGTTTCTCCATCTTCCTTTGCGATAAATGTATTCTTTGGGATATGTTTCAGGGTCATCAGATGCTTTTAAAGTCAATGGAGGAGAGCAAATATATTAAAGTAGAGTGTATAAGTATTGGCGAAAAAGATGAAGATATGTTGCAAGGAAGAAAATAAACAAGTTGATAACTAAGCTTGAAGACAGAAAAGATTTCGGCCACTAGACTACTGCCTGGCAGTGTTATTACATCCTTGGTAGCTTTTCATCTTAAAATAGTTACTTTTAGAACCATTTTGTATAAGGTGGTGTAAGTGAGCAATGTTAATTTTTTTAGATACTTCAGGCACGCTGATGGCAGATACACTATTATAGATAATAAGTTTTTTTTTTTTTTTTAATATTATAGGCATTGGTCACTCAATCTGTTTCAACATGTTGATTTTGGCAGTGGTCAGTGTAACCCTTTCATAATCCTTCCTAATCGAAATATTACCTTTTTTTATATGCATGCAAATCAATTATCCCGTAACTCCACCGAGCCTTTGCAAGCCAAAGCTCCATTTAGGACTCAGCAAAGCTCTGATATAAGTTGACCCATACCCTTCTCACCTCAAGTTTAGACTGCTGCAATGTGCTCTACTTTGGGCGGTCTTTGAAGACCACCCAAAATCTACAGTTGGCCCAGAATGCAACCACCCGCTTACTGGTTGGTGAGATCAGCTGTAGTCAGATAACACCTGTTTTATGTATGCTGCCAACAGATTTATGAATACAGTTCAAGGTGCTGGGGTTAATTTATAAAGCCCTACATAGCTTTGTTCTAGGATATCATAGAGTGTATCTCCTCGAAGTAGAATCTCCTTGTCTTGTGCAGTCTTTTCAGAAAGAGAAGCTTTGAATTCTTGTACTATGGGAGATCCCAGGGGCAGGGTACGGGCCCCTTCATAGCTAAGTTTTAGAAAGGCAGTGAAAAGAATTTTGTTTCATTGGGCTTCTGAATACTAGGAAAGTTTGGGCTGCATGATTTGGATTATGGGTGTATGTGTGCATTCATACATGCATACAAACATACATATATCCTTCATAGGCATGTTACTTTATATTGTTTTAATTATGACTATGGAAGTTATTGCTTATTTTTATTATGTTCTCTATTTTGTGCAAACTATCCAAAGACATGGGATGGAATGGTATAGAAATTTGTATAATAAGCAAATCAATAAAAATAAATTATTATAAATTAGGCTTGAAATTTTGAACTGCAGGTTGGCACAGAAATGTTTTAAATAATAACCAGCCAGAGACTGTAGCCATGTTATGAAATTATCTTTATGAATTTTCATAGCCCTATATCTATCCAGATCCATTTTGTTTTGATATATTAATATTTTTAAAAAGCAAAAGCTTATTGCCAATTCTCTCCATAAGATCACATTATGTGATCTGATAAATGTGTACATGTGTGTAAAAATATGTGTGTCTTACATCTGCATGGAGCTTAAAAGATCTAATCAAACTTACTGGATAACTCTGGTAATTAGAGCATTTATGGGAAAGAACAGGCCAAACAAAGCCAGAGCCATCCAACTTGCTTGACAAGCTCAAATCAACTTCATTTCAAAAAATCCAAATGATTGTGATTCCATACAATCCAGCAGTCCACAGTTATTAACATACCCCAACTAAATTCTTCAAATTATATCAGAAGGAATGGTAAGTTTTAGAATCAATCCAAATGCGCCTGGGATGATGGAGAAGAAATAATAACATAGGTATAACATTACCTTTGCACCAGTGGAATTTCACTAGGAGAAAGGGGAAACTCATTGGACTTTGGATGATAGGGAAGAAGAAACATTAGAACCTTCAACTCACTCAATGGGCATTCCTGTCCTCAACAACTATGTAGTGTTAGGCCTGCAAAAAAAGTGGCAAAACATGGATGTGTATTGTAGTCAACTGAGAGCTCTATATAGCTGCCCTCCTGCCTCTACCTCAAGAATCCTAAGGAAGGTGAGAATTACAAACATCTCCATAGCAAGTAGTGACTTATTTCCAAATGTACAAAATCTCCAATGAGAAAACACATATTTCAGACACTGTACAGAGGAAGATTCCTTCTGGTTATATGTCTAGAGAATTAGAAACACACAAAATTGCAGTTTCAGTAATTATTCAATAGATAATGGGGCTTCATAGCACAGAGTAAGCACTGTACACTAAGCAGTCAAGTTAGAAGAACGTATCTTCTTACAAACCTCAAATTTGAGTACAAGTCTCAAGTTCCAGATCATTAAGCAAGCATCTTAACATATTTGCAACTGGAGCTGCAAAACGGCATCCTATACTGATTAACAACACACAGGGTGAATGAAGCGCACTTCATATCTAAAAATACGGCACACACCTTTTCTATACCTCTTTCAATTTTTCCTCCTAAAAAAAGAGATGTGATTGAAGAACAAACACTCCAACAACCACGATCACAGAAAGTTTCTTTAGGCACTTGTTGTCAGTGTATAAAAAAGAATTGGGCCATATGCCTATCCCATCCTGATCGTACCCGTTATCACTGGAGACTATCAGCCATTCACCACAAAGGTCTGAAGAGCAAAGAAGGTTCCGCTGGATATACTTAACCCCCCCTTCAGATTTCAACGCTAGTAAAAAGTAGAATAGGATTACTCCTAGACCAAAAGGCATTTCATGGTCAAGCCACACAGCTGCATGTGCCAATGAACAAACACATATTCTACTCTACCTATGGCTTCTCTTGGTTAAACAGCTGTAACAATTATTCTTCTTTCCCAGATCAAAGCCAAAGCACACAGAGCAAAATGTGAGAACTAAGCCTGCATTTCACTGATCTCCTAGAAAGCAGACAGCACATCTGTCTAGCTTATTCATACTGCGCCTGTACAAAATATTCATATACCAATGATAAACTAGCAGTTGCACACATTGTGACATATTGACTGGGGTCACACACCATGCTAAGCCATGATTTTTTTTTAAATAAGACACAAATAGTCCTGTTCATGTAATATGCTTCTCAGATCAGCAGGAGAGGCCCTTTTCAAGATAATTCTGCTGCCAGGGATTCAACTATCTGATATGCAGAAAAGGGCTTTCTATGGAGTAGCTCCTGGATTGTGCAATGCATTCCTTAGGAAGATGTGCTTGGCCCCCATTCTCCTGCTATTTAAGAGGTAAACATCTGTAGAGTCCTTGGTGCTCTTTGAGCTTGATTGTTTCCTTGCAGACATTTCATTACCCAACTAGGTAACATTATCAGTGCGAGTGAGTGTGGAGTTTGTTCCTTGTTTATATACAAGTAATCCTTGAGTTACGACCATTTGTCCAGCGACTGTTACAACAAAGTTACAACGGTGCTTAAAAAGAAGACTTACGACCAGTCCTCAAAGTTGCAGCCGTCCCAGCACCCCCACAGTCACATAATCGCAATCTGGGTGCTTGGCAACCTGCTTACACTTATGACTGGTTGCCAAGCACCCCGCAATCACATGATCGCAATTTGAAACTTTCCCTGCTGGTTTCCCCCAAGCAAAGTCAATGGGAAGTTGGCAAGCAAGGTTGCAGGTTGCTGGGGTAAGTCTCCCCCACAGGCCTTTCTTCAGTCGCATGCACCACACCCTCCTTCCCCACCTTCCCTTGCACACATCTTGAGCCCTCTTTCCTCAGCCTCCCTGTGCTTGCAAACATGCACTCCTGTGCCCTCTCTCCTTGGCCTCCCTGCAATTGCACATACGCACACATGTATCCCGTGCTCTCTTTCCACGGCCTCCCTGCAATCACACACATGCATGCGCCCCGTCCCCTCTTTCCACAGCCCCCCTGCGATTGCATGCACCCCACACCCTCATTCCCTGGCCTTTCTGAGCTCACGAGGCACCAAGCACCCTCTCCCCCAGCTCACACACGGCCTGTGCAGGGTCTTCCAAGGCCTCCCCCACCCTCCTGCAGCATCCGGGTGCTCCTTACCTGTGACTCCCTCCACTTCCCACTTAACAACTCACCCATCTTGGGTTATTTGGCAATGCAGTCATGTGATATTGTGCTTTACGACTGCATTGCTTAGCGACAGCAATCCCAGTCCCAATTGCAGTTGTAACTCGAGAACTACTTGTACAGTAGCTCACCCTACCAATTTTGGTGGGGGTGTAGTTTTCATCTTGGTAGTTCCTTGATTAGGATATTGTTTTCTGCTTGATGGTTTGCCTGGTGTTAATCCCTGCTTATCTAGGTGTTGGCTGCTGGAGAGGATGTGTTCTCCAGATCCTTTGCAGCAGCCAACACCTAGGTAAGGGACTACCAAGGAGAAAAGCACACCACCATCAAAACTGGCAGGGCAAGCTACTGTATATACAGGAAGCAAACCCCACACCCACTTGCACTGATCATTACCTAGTTGGGTAATGAAAAGTCTGCAAGCATACAACCAAGCTCAGAGGGGGACTCCACAGTTCAACCCAGAGCTACATATATTCTCTTCTACTGGAAGTAAATATCTCTTCCACCAAGCATTTAATTATTAAACATTTATATTTAATTAATATTAAATATTTTAATGTTTTTTTTTAACTGTGTTCCTGTTGCTTTGTTTGTATTTGTTTTTTCTTTTCAGTTATAAGACACTTTGATTGCCAGACAGATAGAAAGGTAGTGTATAAGTCCAACAGGAAGGAAGGAGGGAAGGAGGGAAGGAGGGAAGGGAAGGAGGACAAACTACATGACAGCTAAGGGCAAGGTGTGCACTGGCAATGTTAAGTAGGACATTCTGTCAACATTTGCCAACTACGTCTAGGACATTTTTGTTGAAATTCTAATGTCAAGACTTGCTACAATGCTTAGTGCAGACTATATGGCAAGGACTGGTGGAGAGCCTTTTTAGTGGTGACACCTGAATTGCAGAATGCCCTCTGCAGAGATGTGTACCCAGCGACCACATTGGCTCTTCCAGTGAAACATGAATTTTTATTTTCCCAGTTTTTTCAACCTTAAAACCTTTTTGGGGGTTTTAAATGTTTTGTCCTAATCTGTTGCTGTGTTGTTGTTGTTTTATACTGCAGCCAGTTTTGCTCTTTTTCAGTTCATATTTGTATTTTATTTCTTATAGCACTTTATGCTATTACAGTATTGTAAAATTTTTAAAGTACCTTGGTATGCAACATAAGTATATTACATCAATATAAATAAAACCACACTTGTGCAACTAAGGAACCTCTGCAGAACAAAAGCATTTTGTTCTCTTGTGGGATTTCTACTGGCTTAACAGCCAGTAAACTCACTAGTTCCCATGTCATTTTCTTTGTAATGTTTCCTTTGTTGTTCTGGCTAACTTAAGTAAATTGCTAAGAGCAGTGAAGCTGGCAAAATATACAATGTTCAGACACAGCACTTTTTTGTTGCTGGGCTAAGGAATTAATCACACACTGAGAAACATGATCTAACCCCTTATTATTTAATTCAACAAGTGAGATTAAATGATGTGTGTTTTTCCACGCATGCATGGGCCAGAAAGTATCCTCCCTCTCAATGTGCATCGTATTGAAGCAACAGAGTTCTCTGCTATTTACTCTACGACCATGTCATATATACCAAAAATGCCCTTATAAAATGACAGTCTTATGAAATAAAGGCAATATTTTGCAACAGCAAAACTGCTCAGCTTTTCAGTAATCCACTTGCTAAAATAGTTAATCATGAACAAATAGAGCTATCTTTGTAGACCACTTCAGATGTAAGTCACCACTCTTGCTGAAATCTTAAGTAAGCAAAGTGCATTTTGTATTTGAAGGAGAGCCCTGCACAAAGTACAAGAAGGGAAAAAATAAGGTATTTTTGGCTTTTGATTATGGGAAAGGAATGACCTCTTAAGACACAGGTAATTTTGGAAAGATCATAGGGTGTGTATATATTTTCTATGGAAAGTCGCAGCATTCATTCACATATGCACACGTATACACACGCAACTGTTACCTAACTGAAACATGGTCAATAATGTATCATTACAATGTAATGATTATAGAAATAAGAAGAATTTTCTGAGTTAGCAGCAGCTTAACCATTCTTCTGGATTCAAGGAGCACCTTGGCCTTTAATTCTATACCTTTCTTAACCCAATGAAAGCTGCCTGAAGAATCTAAACGGTTGGGTGTGGGTATGAGAAACACACAAAAGACGTTGCGCAACGCTATGAACTCCCTTCCAGTTTTACTCCCTTATCAAGCTTGATTCCGATTGGCCTAATCATCAGTAAGCCACTTTTCTCTCACATATTGGGAAATAAATTTCAGTTTCATTATGCAGCTAACAGCTAGGTATAACTAACAACAACCAAGCCCTGCTAAATGTTTTTGCAGTATAGCATATTAACTTTGTTTTTGCAAACACTGCTTACTGCTAGTGAGTATCTGAGGGGGAGAAAGGAAATGAAAGTGCATGTCTACAGGAGGAATAGTCCCCTATTCCCCATATATTAGGTGCTAGATATATAAGACCACATTGCAGGTTTGCTTGAACCTGGAGCAGGCATCTTTAACCTAGGTCCTCTTGCTATATTGCAAATATAATTCCCCGAATCCCGGGAATAGTAGTATGACCACATCAAAGTTATACCAGGTTGGGGAAAGCTGATTTGCAGAGTATTTAAAAGTTGATGACTCCACGTGACAGGTGTAAAATCAGCCTGCTTGTAAAGTGAGAGCCTTTGCCAATGTCACACATTATCAGTGGCAGCTAAAACTGACAGACACTTCCTAGTCAAAGAGATGTATGGTTCAATTCTTACATAGAGAGGAACCTCAAAAATCTCAGCATTTTCAACATGCTCTTGTAATGACTGTAATTAGTCATTCTTTTTCCTTATGTCGTTATTAGCTTGATTGTCCTACCCAAAAGAGGCACAACTGAGGAGTGAAGTTGCAGAGTCCATAGACCTGGAAGGATCTGGATGCTTTCCAGATTCCATACTATGATCTGGGTCTGCAAGTAAGATAAGATCTGTATTAATTCTCAAAGACATTTTCCCAGAAGAAAATATCCAGGATAGTCTCTGACCTACAAACCTAAATTATGCCAAAGAATCAGCTCTATTGTTCTTTCAGCTTGATCTTTCTTATGTTTTAATTTCTATCTATTTATTCTGCTTCTTGCCTTCTGCCAAAGATTACTTTGACTCAATACTGACATCAGCCTTCACTCAGTCAGCCACACTAACCAGCTAACTTTGGAAACTGGTAATAGATGGCTCCCACCTAGAATTATTGGTTCATGACCCAGAGACAACATTTATGGTTCCAAACAACAATCATTCACTGATATAGTGGGAGGGTGAGGCACTACAATAACAGAGCTGCTCCCTAAATAAGTGACTCAAAAACTGTAACCTGATCTGAGTTAGCAAACAAAATATTACTTTCAAGAATTTTACAAGTGTTACTGATTCATTGGACAATCTATTTATTTATTTGTGCATCTGTGTCATTTCAGTGGGAATCCTGATAGAACATAAATATTCACAAATACATTAAAGGGGTATATAAAGGGTTATGAGCAGACATATTAATCCAAATCCTACAAAGCTTGGTGTCAGTGGTATATTTATTACTCCTCTTAGAAGAAATAAACAGGTTTTTTTACCTCCTGTCTTTGCATAAAGATGAATGTCTGGGATAAAGCCACAGAGAGAAAAAGGATACCCTTATGTTCAAGAGCTGTAGCCAATATTCAATTATGGAAATATAAATAGAGCTGCCAAAGACCTCAGATGCATTTATGATGCTGACGCAATAAAGAAACATTAAAATAGCCAATGATTATTATTCTAATAGATGGCAGGCCAAGATATTTTGCCTCCTGAGGTGTAACGCCAAAGTCTGCTTGCAGCCTCCCATGGACCTAAAGTCAACCATTATTTTGGTGCATGGACAGAAAACTCCACAAGTATCTTTCCCTTCTACTATACCACTATAAATACAATAAAAACTAACAAATCCCTGCCCTCAGGCAGATGAGGAATCTATGACATTCCAGATTTGGATGAACTACCACTCTCAACAACCCTACGCACACTTAGAATTGCAGTTCAGCAGCTTCTGGAGAGCCACAGATTACTCACTATGGCCTAATGATAGAGCCTGGTTTTAAAGGCAAAACTTAAAAATAGATATACTTCATGGTAAAAATCTGTGTATGGGCATTCTCAGAGGCTGTGACTTTTTAAATCTTCAAGTGTGCTAATCCACTCAAGTCCTCACTTAAAACTTCTACAAAGATCATGAGGCCATCTTGGAGGGACCTGTAAGAGCCTCTTACTGTCCAATTCCATTTAAAACTGGCCTAATTCATCCAATTAGGAAGCCTTTTAATGGGAAGGTGCTCAACAGCAGCGAGTCCTAACTCTCCTCCAAACAGCGCTGTGGGCAATTGGGAAAGCAGGCAATGGAGTGAAGAATCAATCAAATTCCTGGGATACAAACTATTGGCTCGACCTTACGCATACAAAGATGAACATGAAATGGCCATCATCTCCAAGATAATCATAAAAACAAAAACAACCAGGGATTAAAAAATAAAAACAAAGCAGCACGGTTCCCCTACATTTTGTCATTTGTTTCAGCTCCAATGAGGAAAGATGTAGGTCAGTCTCACAGCACCAGGAGGAGATGAGAAAATCATCGTAACTAGGTGCTTAATGGGACAGCAGGGAGTCGTCCGCCTCCAGCAGGGAGGAAGGAGAAAACTGTCGACAGGAGTTTACTTGGGTTTGGTTTTTTAAAGAAGGGACCTCGGGAACAGGCATGCAGGAAGGTGGAGGGATTCCACTCCAGAGCAACCCCAGTCCCGGTTGTGCCACTTCGTCTCAATCAGTCGCACGACAGAAGCGACCCACCGTCAAGCAGGAACTCGGGACCTGGAGCGCGCCCACTAGGGAAACGTAAAATGAAGCCGCTGGCTGGGAGGGCGAGAAGGGGGCAAGAACCGCCGAGAATCAAGTCGAGAGCAGCCGCCTCCTCCCTGGCCGAGAGGGAACTCGGCGGAGCGGAGCCCCCTTACCTGTTACAGCCCCGAAGTCCCGCCAAAGCAGAGTCCATAGTGCCGGCAACAGCAACAGGAGTCCCCGTATCTGCATAGTCTGCTTCATCTCCATCTCTTCCACCTCATCATCTTTATCACCATCCTCCTAGCGACCTCCAAAGCGGTTGCCTCGCCTCGGTCCCAAAATTTAAAGAGGGGGAGGAAAAAGCGAAAGGGGAGGATGGGCGGGTGGCAAAGCAATACGGGAGGGGAAAAAGGGGCAGGAAAACCAACGACGCCCCTTCCTCGAAAGAACACCCGGTGGCCCGCGCCCCTGGATCCGGGAGCTCGGCTACCGCGCAGGGCAAGCCAGGGAAAGAAGCGGCTGGAGGCGGCAGCGCCCGGCGCCCCACCAGCGCTGGCTCGGCCGGCGGCTCTGCTCCCTTTCCCCGAGCTTGTGATCACGGAGTCAG